CCCTAGACATGTCTTAAAATTTTCCTTCATGAGTTATTAACTGCACCTTTTAAAGTACAAAAATGGAATATGTATAAAAATTAACATATCACAGTAAATCGGTATATCATTATTAAAAAACATACAGAAAGCCATGTGTAAAAAGAAAAGTGCTAACATTCATAGAAATGAGGGAATTTAGATTAAAGTTATCTATCAAAGGAATCAGAGGAAAAAAGTGATATAACATTCTTTGTAACTAACCCCACTGTGCTGGTGTACATTTTGCAGCTTCATTGGAGTCATCTAAATTTCTTGGCAAATAAATATTTAAGAACACTAAATATGTTTTTAGCAACATCTAAATATTATCTGTACAGTAGACACGACTCACAGTATTAAAAACTCATCCTTCAATTCAAGTATTTTTTTGTTTGTTTTCCAATCTATGTAACTTAAATGCTTTTTCTTCACTATGGCGATGGCACCCAGGGTTTGCTATGCATACTAATTTTGAGAGAATGTATTATTTATTATTTCCTCAACAGATCTTAATGGCTATGTTTTGTGTTTGACAGTTCAGTAAATAAATTTTTAAAAATATCCCTTCTTTGCCCCTTCCCTGCTGAGTTCCTGAGCCCTATATGCCAACTTTCAGCCAAGACTGAATCTTTACAGCTGAGTTTCAATCCATGAACAACATGAGTTTGCAATGGAAATGCTGATGCTGCTTTAATTATAGTGGTGTTAACTGCTCCATTATAATTAGAGATCTGCTGACCCTCTTAACTGGTTTTGCTTTCAGAACATCATGAGACAGCCTCCTTTTGCCAGCCATTCATCAGCTTCCTTTAAATTCGGTAACAATTTAGTAGTAAATGTGTTCCTTAATATAGTTTATTTGGCTGCTAAGAAGTTGGATGTTCCTCTCAGATCCTGAATTCTGGGCTCCAAGGGCTTAAAGGAAACTAAGGAGATAATTTAAGCCATCTCATTGTTTTTTAGTCAGAAATGTACCTCAGTATTCATCCTAGTATTCTTTCCCACATTTAAAGCTATTTCAGTAGGCCATTTCATCTTTCCTCTACCCACCTTTCCCCCCAGCTTCTAACATCTAGTCCAAGAACAGTCTACTTGTATTTATTTTGGCTAGCTTCAGTGGAGATGGAACACAGCTGGTCAGCCCCAACTCCCAGCCCAGGAACCCACTCATTAAGACAGTGATTCAAGCAACTCTTAGACCACTCTTGCTATCTCCTAATCCTTAACTAGTTCTAGTTCACAGTGCCTGGTTTTAAAGACCTTAAATTGCATTTTTTTTTCCTTTACAAATATTAGTATAAGGCAACTGAGGTAAATTGGATCACTCAAATAGAACATTATCTGGGCAGATTAAGAAAACAGTCTTCCAGGGGCGCCTGGGTGGCTCAGTGTCTGCCTTTGCCTCGGGTCATGATCCCAGAGTCCTGGGATCGAGCCCCGCATCGGGCTCCCTGCTCCACGGGAAGCCTGCTTCTCCCTCTCCCACTCCCCCTGCTTGTGTTCTCTCTCTTACTGTGTCACTCTCTGTCAAATAAATAAATAAAATCTTTAAAAAAAAATGTGTTCCAAAAAAAAATAAAGGTTCCTATTCATATGTGTATTAAAAATGTAATAAAGTTATCAGAAAACAACTTACTTTGAAATCAAAGTTAGCAAATACATATATATTGCAGTGGACCTCAACTTCTGACATGTGCTTGGATACCTGTTAAAAATTCTGATTCAGTAAACCTGCTGTGGGACCAAGGAGTAGGCATATGCAACAAGCATTCACTCTCCTTCCCCTGCACCACCAACCCCTTGATTCTCTCAGAGGGCACACAACAAACACAGGGAGCACTGTGACAGTGCTCACTGCACTTAGAAGTAAACTAATAAACCATTTAAAAATTGCTATAGAGATTTGAGAATTATCCATGTCCATTCAGTTAGAGTATTTCTTAAAATTTATATGCTCAACTGTAATGAGGTTTATATAAGTGTACAATCAGGTTGTAATAACAGCTTTGCAAACTTGGTCGCAAAAAACCCAAAATTGGCTCTGAGTAACTTAAGTAGAAAATGCATTTGTTAAAAGGCTAGTGCATAGCAGAATGGATTATAGAAAAACTGGAAAACCAGGTCTGAGACGTAGACAGAAATAAGGTATGAAAAAGAAAGCCAAGAATCAACATAGAAAGAGTAAGTTAAGAATGATGTTGGTAAAGCTACTGCCATTAATAACTTTGTTGATAAGCTGCACTCTTCTCTCTCCACCATTACCACCTAGAATAGTTTCTTTCTGTTCTTATATCCTGTATTCACTCCTTGGAGTTTCAAAATTCAGGGGAAACAATCCAGTTAATCAAACCTAGACCCTATGATCAAGCCCTGGCTCCAGCCAGAAAATGACATCTTTCTAATATCCAGTCATGTACAATTAAATGTTTTGAAAAGACCACATGGCCCAATAAAGCTACAGACTTTGAATACAAAGCATGTAGAAAATAGTTGCTATATATAGACTCACAATAGATTTCTGTTGGAAAAATTCTTGTCCTTTAGAATAACATCCTGGAATTCTCTCTCAAAGAGATGTGGCAGGCATACCATCTTATTTTTCAAGTAAGCTATATAGGCTTTATGTCAATGAGATCACTATTCTGTATCCAGTTATTTTCACCTGCATGATGTATCCACAGGGTTTTAACAGATGTTTTAACATATGTTTAACATATATCATTCAACATCTATAAATACACACACACACACACAGCAAAGCTTATTTTCAAATAATTTGTACAAATTTTATTGTGTTGTCCTTTATTGTGGAGTTTAGAGGGTCTTTATGTATTCTGGAAATGGGTGCTTTGTTCAATATGTATTTTTTTTTTAAAGATTTTATTTATTTATTTGACAGAGAGAGACATCAACAGAGGGAACACAAGCAGGGGAGTGGGAGAGGGAGAAGCAGGCTTCCCGCGGAGCAGGGAGCCTGATGTGGGGCTCGATCCCAGGACCCCGGGATCATGACCTGAGCTGAAGGCAGACGCTTAACGACTGAGCCACCCAGGCGCCCCCAATATGTATTTTGACAAAATTTTATCCCAGTTTGTGTTTATCCCAGTTTCATTTTGTTAATAGTGCCTTTTGAGGATCAGATTCTTATTTTAATTAAGTTTAACTTATCATTTGTCTTTTATAGTTGCTTTCTGTGACCAGTCTAATAAATCTTTTACTCATATTTTCTTGAGTCTTTATTGTGTTAGTATTTATATTTAGGTCTATGATTCATTTCAAATTAAATTTTGTGTATATGTAAAGAGGATATCAAGTTTGGTTTCCGTACCCAAATGGACATTCAGTTATTTCAGCACTATTTATTGAAAATGTTTTTTCCATGGAATTATTTTGACATCAGATTTGAAATGAATTAATCATATATGTATTTTTATATTTCTGATATTTTATTGTGTTTTAGTGATCCATTTTATTTTCTTAAAATAGTGGCACATTTTCTTAAATACAACTTTTTAGTAATCTAAAAGCCTACTGTAAGTCTTCTTACATTCTTTTTTTTCTTCTTTAATTTTGTTTTGGCTATGCAGTGTCACTTGTAAAAGTGAATTTTAAAAAGTAAATATAAATAGGGACGCCTGGGTGGCTCAGTCGGTTAAGCGTCTGCCTTCAGCTCAGGTCATAATCCCAGGGTTCTGGGATCGAGTCCCGCATCGGGCTCCCTGCTCCGCGGGGAGCCTGCTTCTCCCTCTGCCTCTGCCTCTCTCTCTCTGTCTCTCATGAATAAATAAATAAAATCTTTTAAAAAAAAAAGTAAATATAAATATAAATTTTAGAACAATTTGTCAATTTTAATTTTTAAAAGTTAGAAGAGTTTATGACTGAGAAGGTGTTGGAATTATAGATCAATTTGGGAAGAAACTGACCTAAAAATACCTTAAGAACATTTTGTCTTGTCATTCCAAGAGCATGGTGTATCTTTTCATTCATTCATTCATTCATTAAGTCATTCATTCAATTTTTTAAGTTAGTATTATGCTCAATGAACTCACAACCCCAAGATCAAGAGTCACATGCTCTACTGACTGAGCCAGCCGGGCTCCTTTTATTTAAACCTTTATTTTCTTATAATTATGCCCCCATCAAAAATTCTTTTATTTTACTTCCCATTTGTTTTCAAATATGTATTTGATATATGTTTACTGATTCTTAAATCTAGTTTAATTCACATATTAGTCTAATAGTAGCTTCATACCATCTATAAATTTCTATGCAGACAATTGTATCATTTGCATATAAGAACAGTTATACTTCTTCCTTTACATTTGTTTACTAATTCCAACATCTGGATAGTATCTGGGTTACCTTCTATTAATTGTTTTTTCTCTGGACTACACATCATATATTCCTATTTCTTGACAGGTCTAGGAGTTTCTCATGTATATGGAACATTCTGAATGATAGAGAGATTCTGCCATATATTAGTTACCTCTGAAGAATGCTGGGGTTTTTGTTGTTGTTGTTGCTCTTTGCTTTTTGTTTTGTTTTATTAGGTATCTAAATTGGTTGGTTTCAAACTCAAAACTTATTAACCCTGCTATGGAAAGCAGCTGAAGTCTTTGCTAATTATTTTTAGCTTTGTAGATGTTCTTTTGTACCACTACTAGACTTTACCCACACATGTTTATTCAGATATTAGCCAACAATTTGGGCAAAGAGGATACATAAATTGTGAACCCTGCCCCCACCATGACCCTTTTCTCTCCTTGATATTTTCCCTCACTTTCCAGCTTTTTTTGCAAAACCAAATTCAGTCTGCTAATTCTTCCAGTCAATAGGAATAAGTTTTAATGAGGTTTCTGCTCAAATTTAACCTACCTTACATAAATTAAACTAGGTGGTACCCTCAGGGAGAGGAGGACCCACACAGACTAAAGTAAATTTTATCCAAGGTAGTTTCCTTTCTCAAAGGGTATAATGCCATGCTTGCTTTGGCAGCATATATACAAAATTGGAATGATACAGAAAAGATTAGCATGGTTCCTGTGCAAAAACAACACACAAATTTGTGAAGGGTTCCATCTTTTTAATAGATATGCAAAAAATAAAGAGGAAGGAATCCAAGTATATCACTAAAGAAAGCCAATAAATTGTGACAGAAGAGAGCAAGAGAATAAAGAAAACAGACAAAAACTACCAAAACAACCATAAAACTAGTAACAAAATGGCAATAAATACATACATGTCAATAATTCTTTGAAGGTAAATGGAATAAATGCTCTAATCAAAAGACATAGGGTGAAGAAATGGATTTAAAAAAAAAAGACCCATCTGTATGCTGCCTACAAGAGAGGCATTTCAGACCTAAAGACATATGTAGAGTGAAAGTGAAGGGATAGAGAAGCATTTATCATGCAAATGAATGCAAAAAGCAAGCTGGAGTAGCAATACTTGTATCAGAGAAAATAGACTTTAAAACAAAGACTGTAACAAGAAACAAAGGAGGACACTATATAATCATTCAGGGGACAACCCAACAAGAAAATACAACAGTTATAAATATTTCTGTACCCAACATAGGAACATCCAAATACTTGAAACAGTTAATACAGATATAAAGGAACCAATTGATAGTAATACAATAAAGGTATGAGAATTCAACATTTCACTTACAAAATGGGTACATTATCCAAACAGAAAAACAATAAGGAAATAGACACTTTGAGTGACACATGGACCAGATGTATTTAACGGATATATTCAGAATTCCATCCTAAAACAGCAGAGTACATATTTTTTTTCAAGTGCACACAAAACATTCTCCAAAATACACCATATAATAGGCCAGAAAACAAGTCTCAACAAATTCAAAAAAGATTAAATCATTCTATCCATCTTTTCTGACCACAATGCTATGAAACTAGAAATCAACCACAAGAAAAAATCTGGAAAGACCACAAATACATGGAGATTAAGTAACATGCTACTCAACAATGACCGGGTTAACCAGGAAATCAAAGAGGATATAAAAAAAAAATACATGAAATGAAAATGAAAACATAATGGTCCAAAATCTTTGCGATGCAGCAAAAGCTGTTCTAGAGGGAAGTTTGTAGCAACACAGGCTACCTCAAAAACAAACAAAAAAAAGATTTCAAATAACCTAAACCTCCCACCTAAAGGAGTTAGAAAAAGAACAAATGAAAGACCAAATAAGCAGAACAAAGGCAGTAATTATGATTAGAGCAGAAATAAACAAAATGGAAACTAAAAAATCATAAAAATTAAACTTAAAAAAGAAGCAATAGAACAAATCAATGAAACCTGGAACTAGTTCTCTGAAAAGATCAACAAAATTGATAAGCCTTTATCCAGATTCATCAAAAAAAAAGGAGAGAGAGGACTCAAAGTCAGAAATGAAAGAGTAGAAATAACAACCAACACCACAGAAATATAATTTTAAGAGAATATTATGAAAAATTATAAGCCAACAAATTGGACAAGCTAGTAGAAATGGATAAATTTCGAGAAACATATAACCTCCCAAAATTCATATAACCTCCCAAAATTCGATGAGGACAAAGTAGAAAATGTGAACAGACCGACTGCAGCAATTAAATTGAACCAGTAATCAAAAAAACTTCTAAAAACAAAAGTCCAGGATCAGATGACTTCAGAGGCAAGTACCATCAAACATTTAAAGAAGAGTTAATATCTATTCTTCTCAAACCATTCCAAAAACTTGAAAAAGAAGGAAAACTTCCAAATTCATTATATGAGGCCTGCATTACCCTGATACCAAAACCAGATAAAAACACTATGAGAGAGAACTACAGAGCATTATCCCTGATGAACACAGATACAACAATCTTCAATAAAATATTAGCACACTGAATCCAACAATACAAGATGATCAAGTGGGATTTATTCCTGGGATGGAAGGGCGGTTCAATGTTTGCAAATCCATCAACATGATACACATCCATAAGAGGAAGGGTAAGAACCATAAGATTATTTCAATAGAGACAGAAAAAAACATTTGATAAAATACAACATCCATTCAGGATAAAAACCCTCAACAAAGTATGTTTAGAGGGAACACACCTCAACATAATAAAGGCCACATACGAAAGACCCACCGTGAGCATCATACTCAATGGTATAAAACTGAGAGCTTTTCCTCTAAGATCAGGAATAAGACAAGGAGGTCCATTCACACCACTATTATTCAACATAGTATTAGAAGTCCTAGCCACAGCAATCAGACAACAAAAAAGAAATAAAAGGCATCCAAACTGGTAGGAAGAAGTAAAACTTAAAATATTTGTAGATGACATGATACTATGTATAGAAAACCCTAAAGACTCCACCAAAAATAAAAACCTACTAGAACTGATAATTGAATTCAATAAGGTCATAAGATACCAAGTCAACATACAGAAATCTGTTATATTTCTCAACACTAAAAATGAAGCAACAGAAAAAGTAATTAAGAAAGCAATCCCATGAACAATTGCACTAAAAAGAATAAAATGCCTAGGAATAAATTTAACTGAAGAGGCAAAATATCTGTACTCTGAAAACTATAAAGCATTGATGAAAGAAATTGGTAATGGGAACATATTCTATGGGATGGGAAGCATCCCATAGAATGGGAAGATATTCTATGTTCAAGGACTGGAAGAACAAATATTGTTAAAATGTCCATACTACCCAAAGCAATCCACAGATTTAATGCAATCCCCCTCAAAATACCAACAGCATTTTCCACAAAACTAGAACAAATAATCCTAAGATTAAATCCCTGAATGGCCAAAAACAATCTTGAAAAGGAAAAACAAAACTGGAGATATCATAATTCTAGATTTCAAGTTATATGACAAAGCTGTAGTAATCAAAACAGTATGGTACTAGCACAAATATAGACACACAGATTGATGGAACAGGATACAAAGCCCAGAAACAAACTCACAATTACATGGTCAATTAATCTTTGACAAAAGAGGCAAGAATATGAAAGGGGAAAAAGTTTCTTCAACAAATGATGTCAGAAAAACTGGACAGCTATATGCCAAAGAATGAAACTGGACCATTTTCTTACACCATACACAAAAATAAATTCAAAATGGATTAAGGACCTCTGAGGTGTGAAACCATAAAAACCCTGAAGAGAACATTGGAAGTAATTTCTGACACTGGCCATAGCAAAGTTTTTCTAGAGATGTCTCCTGAAGCAAGGGAAACAAAAGCAAAAATATACTATTGGGACTACATCAAAATAAAAAGCTTCTGCACAGCAAAGGAAACGGTCAACAGAACTAAAAAACAAACCACAGAATGGGAGAAGATATTTACAAATGACATATCCAATAAAGTGTTAGTATCCAAAATATATAAAGAACTAATACAACTCAACACTGAAAAAACAAATAATCCAACAAAATGGGCGAAGACAGGCACCTTGGTGGCTCAGTCAGTTGAGTGTCAGGCTCTTGATTTTAGCTCAGGTCATGATCTCATGGGCTGTGAGATCAAGTGCTGTGTCAGTCTCCACATTCAGCAGGGAGTCTGCTTGAGAGTCCCTTTCTCCCTCTCCCTCTGCCCCTCCCCACCCCCCCCACACTCTCTCTTTCTAAAATAATATAAATCTTAAAAAAAAAAATGGGCAGAAGACATAAATACCTATTTCTCCCAAGAAGACATCCACATGGCCAACAGATACATGAAAAGATGCTCAACATTCCTCAGCCTTAGGGAAATGCAAATCAAAACTACAATGAAATATCACTTCATACCTGTGAAAATGACTAAAATCAAAAACATAAAAAACAGCAAGTATTGGTGAGGATGTAGGAGAAAAAGGAACCCTCTTGCCCTGTTGGTGGGAATGCAAACTGGAGCAGCCACTGTGGAAAACAGAATGGAAGTTCCTCAAAAATTTTAAAATAGTACCACTCTATGATACAGTAATCACACTACCATGTAGTAATGAAATACAAGAACACTAATTTGAAAGGATATATGCACCCCTATGTTATTACAACACTATTTACAATAGACAAATTATGAAAACAGCCCAAGTGTTCATCCATAGATGAATGGATAAACACACGCACACACAAGAATATTATTCAGTTTGTAAAAAGAATGAAATCTTGCCATTTGCAATAATAACGGATGGAGCTAGAGTATTATGCTAAGCAAAATCAGTCAGAGAAAGACAAATATATTATGATTTTACACATATGTGAAATTTAAGGAACAAAATAACCAAAAAAGGAGAGAGAGAGAGAGAGACAAACCAAGAAACAGACTTTTAACTATAGAGAACCAACTGATGGTTATCAGAGGGGAGGTGGGTGGCAGAATGGGTAAAATAAGTGATGGGGATTAAGAGTACACTTATCATGATGGGCACTTAGTAATGTATAGAACTGGTGAATCACTATACTGGACGCTTGACACTAATAAAGCACTCTATGTTAAGTATACTGGAATTAAAAAATTTAAAAACTTAGAAAAAATAATGTCATCCTATTTTTATTTTTAGTCATCTTTCACCGTAATCAAAAAATGTTTATATATACTTCATTTCTAGTTTATGATTATGGGCAGGCTGATTAAAATACTCTGGTATTACTGAAATCAGAATCCCCTTATATTTTTATATTTGTTTTTTTAATAATAGTTTTCTCAAATGTTTCATATTCTTTGGTTACTTTTTCATATTTATAATGAGTTGAAAGGTGGTCCCCCCAAAAATATGTCCACTTACAATTCATGATCTTATCTGGAGTAACAGTCTCTGCAGAAATAATTGAGGATTTTGAGATAATCATTCTGGATTATCCAGGTGGCCCCTAAGTACAGTGAATGGAGTTCTTATAAAAAAAAAAAAAGAGAGAAATTTGAGACATACAGAAGAGGAATAACTCATGCACAGTCCAAGATAGGTATGTGAGTTAAATAGCCAACAAGTCAATGAACACCTAAAGCCACCACAAGATGCAAGAATCAAGGAAAGATTCTCTTCTAGAGCCTTTGAAGGGAGCACAGATGTACTGACATTTTGATTTCAGAATTCTGGC